TAACTACTTGGACTGACGTTCGAAATCAAATGGATACTAAAACAATAGAATGTTGTCTGATAACAAAAACATATGGATTGAGTTGCATTGAATTTTACAATGAAATAATAAAAAATTCTTCACTACTGAAGAAAGTACACAGCACTGAAAAATATAAGGTCTCTTTGGACGACAAAAATAAAGAAAAATAATAAATCAGTAAAATCTACCTAGATTAGTATACTTATCTTAACGGCTGGAAATTGTATTATTGTTTTTATTTGAATTTTAAGTGTTCATAAAATAAAGATAGCCTATCTAATTGATTAATTTGAATATTATTTATACCTAAAAGTTATATACATCTACCTATGTAATTATATAGTATAATATACTTACTAGATATTAACCTATTTTTTATGAATTTTGGTGTCCCGGATTTATAAAAATTAAATCTGGCCACCCTAGTATAGATAGTATCTATACTCAAAGGTATAACTATTCGTTTCTATGTAAACCAAAATGTTTACACGATTATGTAAACTAATATAAAACGTATTTCCGATCCTTCAATTTTCTCGAATTATCAATTATATTTTAACATTATATATAATTTGTTAAGCTTAATAGTATCATGAACGGTAAGTAAATACATACAATATTTAACAACTCTACAACGTTTTGACTAAAAAAAAATTATGCACACTGCAGAACTCATTAAGAAAAGCGACGGTGGAGATTCATACAGACAAGTTTCTATGCACGCTCTAAATAATGGCTTCAACGAACTCCGTCTGAACCCCAAACTTTGCGATGCGTCATTTATAGTTGATACTGGTGAAATATTTCCGATACATCGATCAGTGTTGAGCAATTCAAGTGATTACTTTAGGTAAGTACATGCAGTCTGTGGCCCTCTTGATAGTTACCTTATGGTAGACTCCAGTCCCAAATTACAAGAAAAGATCGCTACAATAGAACATTGTCTATTTCATAAAATAATAAAATTGTTGACACTTTTTTTTATAATATATTCTGTTTGCAATAATTTTTCAATAATAACTACAAATAATATACCTATTGGCTATTTGTATTAAAAACTTAAGATTTTTCAAATGAATTTTGAACGTTTTGTATTGTTATTAAACAAACTCTAAATTTCGTAGGTACCTACCGATATAGTAATATACCTTTGAAATAGTCGGGTAGTTATATTAGTGTAGGTAATAATAAATACTCTACGTAATATGTGTAGGTAGGAAGTAATAACTAGCAACTCATTTGATTACAATGTCTAATATTGTGAGTAAAGTTACTAGTAAGGTTTTTCCAATGAAATATCGAAAACAATATTTTTAAGATATTTTTCATTTAACACCTAACTAACTAGAGTGGTTTTTCTACTATAGTTTTAAATTAAAATTTGTTTTTCTTATCTTTCATTAATGTAATAAAATATTTCAAAAAAATAAATTTATTTCAGAATTGTGCAAAAATATCATTGTCAAATATTTGTCATTGTGTGTGTAGTAAATGAACCTTGGTTGGTGTAATCCGTTATCCTGGGCCATTATCATAAAAAAAACGTTAAAATCGGTACAAAATAGCTATAAACGGAAGATTAGTTTATGTAATTCCTGATATCCGATTATTATTTTTAAAATATGTATTAACTCATCATCCCATTTACTAGGTTATGTAGGAAAAATAATTGATGTTTTAAAACTGAATGAACCTAAGTGTATAAAATAAACATTTTTTCATATTTTTTTTAAATTCTAACATATTTTTTAAGCCTTAGGTATTGAAGGCATTGAATACAAAAATCAAAAAACCGTTTCCTACATAGCCTAAAAAAGGAGATTACGAGTTCATACATATTTTCAAAATAATAATTGGACATCAGGAAGTACATAAATTAATCTTCCGCTAATTGGTCTAAAACTACAAAAAATACGATGTGGTCCAACAGTCAAATTACTAAAAAAAAACTGTCATTATGTATTTTTTAGATTTTTTGGTAACAGAATTAACTATTTACGTAGAAACTAGTTTTAAATTTTCAATCTTTAGATATAAAAGTTGAACATTTTATACATTTTTAACTACAAATTAATTATTCAATTTTAAATTTGATAAATTTTGTCAAAATTCAAACTTTCAATGCTTATAAAAAAAATTGTGCCTTACATATATGTATTTTTAATATTTTTCAACTGCTATTGTAAAAATATATCAGGAGCCTTATATAAAATTTTTACACATTTTGGCTAATAACATTTTGGTTATTAGTTATTTTGTTGTGATTATATAATATTATTCGTGGGTACCTACTTGAAACTTCTAAAGTTTACTATTATATATCTATGATAGTATCAGGGATTGTTATTGATGTTGATGTATAACGTGTTATAAGTACCTAATGGATATTATGATAATGTGATATGATTAATTTGGAATTTATTATAGGTCAATTTTTTTTTAATACAATATATATGTATATAATTTGTCTTAAACCTAGACTGACATACCGTCTTCGCTCAGAATCGTTTTTCTTATACAATGATATTGTATCATTGAATTCAAATTTAATAGCATCCATTATACAGTGACCCACTTGTAACCTACTGTACAGCAGAGCGACATCCACTTACCCACCTTTTTTAATTAATTCATTCTTATTTTTACAGATTGTCAATAATTGATAAAATATAACACTTACGGTTTCCAATAGTATTCTCGTTCTGATTTTCTACAAGTCTCCGAACACATGTATGAGCTCTAGTCATTTTAAAATCACTATTATCTAATCGTGTGCTACATCTGCCAGGACATTGTGAATTTAAATAATTTCTGCATCTCAATTGTCTGGTAAAAATAATATATCAATAATTACACACTTTAAATTATATCAATGTGTTATTTTATATTTTATGATTAAATTTAACCTTCTGTTTGCAGATTCGTTATGTCGGTAATACTCATAATTTAAGTTATCTATATATATATGATGGATCGATCGTTCCTTCCTGGCCTAACCTTTTTTTTTTTTTTTTTTTTTTTTTTTCACTGTTAGAATCGATAGCCAGGAGGGAACTGCTTGGGCATTTCTTCCTCCCGGCCACCATCGTTTATTGTGAACAATATATATACAAAATACATACGGAAAGCACAATTTGCACATTATATTATACATCAACATAGGGGGCCTCTAACCCCCTTGTTTTGGTCTTCGACCCACATATTAAAAAACTTAACTACAGTTGTTACTTAAGTCTTGCCTTCCTGTACGCCTCACATCTCCCGCTTCCTGGGTAGTGGTCCGCCTGTCGCTTTATATCTTTGCATAGGACACAATTGGGTGCACTCCGACACAGCTTCGCAAGGTGGCCTTCCCCACCGCACGTCATGCACAAGTTCCTCCTATCGTGGCCTCTGCATGTGGATGCCCTGTGATTGTAGCCGTGGCATCTGTAGCATCTTATTACTGGTTTACCTTTCAGACGAACTCCACACGATATCAGTCCGACTAGAACTCGACCTGTGGCAATGATTTTGCCCGCTATCTCGGCTGAGACTGAGACGAGTGCCCTCTGCGTTGCTCCGAACGAGGGTCCCATCTTTGTCACGTGAACTTCTTCGGGAATTGTCCCGTATCGGCAAATTCCTGAGACGACATCTTCTTCTTTTTCTTCTTGACCAATGCCGCGGATCTCGATGAGAGGCGGCCTGCTGGACTCCTTCACTACCACATCACCACCGAGAACATTCTCAATTTCCCGTTTCAGCTTTTTGACATCTTCTGCTGCCTTGGTCCCTTTGCCGACAAACATGAAAATTCCGTCTTCCTTGGTCCTCTTCACTGATTTAATCTCCACTCCTATTGTTTCCAGGTCGATTTCATCCTTCAATTTTTTAACCATATCGGCATAGGTGCTTGCTCCTTTGCCCTTTGATATAGTGACGCCTTGGGAAGGGGCAACATGGGTATTTTTGTTCCCCGGTTTCATCTTTGATTTCTTCTTCTTCCTCTCGGGGACATTTCCTCTTTCCTCCTGTATCGTCTTTTCAAGTTTAGTTGTCTTCAAGTGGCGGCGTTGTCTGCCATGCCCTTGGTTCGTGCCGGTTTTGCTGCTGGTCTGTTGTCCAGTATCCTGTTCATCGCTACTTCTTGGTTTCAGAACAGCCTCAGTTTCCGTGCCGACTCCTATGTCAGCTGTTGACACTGCCCTTAGGCTATGAGTAGTGCTGACTTCTAGGAGGCTAGAAGACAAATCTACAATTCTGTCCGATGATTTGTCGACAAAGGACTTCAGTGCTTCGCTTCTTTTTTGAACCCTGCCCATTTGTTTGTGCAACTCAATACACCAGCCTTTCATCTCCTTGTGTAAGTTTCTCGTTGCCAGGGAAAAGGTGCACATCTTTTCCACCACAGTTGCGAGTTTTCCGACGCTTGAGTCCAGGTTACCCCAGTACTCAAATAGCCAGCTGGAGAGATCTTCATTTGTTATATCCTCTTCGGGTTTTTCAAAACACATATCTTCATAATCACTCTTCATTCCGGGTTCCAGTTTTCCAGTCTCTTTGCCAGTTATGGACGGGCCCCCCCCTGAATCCGTGGGGCCCTTGGTCAGGGGTACAGTCTTGGCGTTTTTATCCATGTTTGATTTTTGTGGAAAATTCTAACCAGCGTTTTAGCCCTACCGCCAGGGGGATTTGCAGCTTCCTTCTGGGACCGTTTGCTAGCGTAAGCAGGTGGTTGCCATACCTACCACCCCCAACCAGTTAGGTCAGAGGCGGCTCTGGAGGCTCCAACTCCGACTAGTTAGGTTAGGTTAGGCTAACCTAACCTAACCTAACCTATCCTGGCCTAACCTAACCTAACCTAACCTAACCTAACCCAATAATGATAATTAATAATAATGACGATGGCTTGTCACAATCGTCATCATAATATACAACTATAACATGATTGAGCAGGAAATATATATATTACCGGTGGGTTCAATGGACGAGAGTGTATGGACACAGCTGAGACTTACAACGTGGACACTAATGAGTGGACGCTAATACCAGCCATGCAGACCGGACGCACCGGCGCGTCTTGCATAGCCTACCACAACTGTCTGTACGTGATCGGTGGCTGCGATGAGTGGGTGGAGAGATTGAACAGCAGCGAGAAGTTTGACCCGACCACGAACCACTGGTCAAGGGTGGTAGACATGTACAACCCACGGAGCAATTTCGCGGTGGAAGTACTCGACGACAAGATTTTCGTGGCCGGTGGTTTCAACGGAGTGACCAGCATAGAGCAGGTTGAGTGCTACAATGACCGCACGGACGAATGGTGAGAAAGAGATGGATGTTTGTATAGACGGATGGATTATGAATGGACGTGTGGATGGTATAGATTAGACGAATGTAATTTAAGATTTTATTTTCTTTAGAAATTAAAAATACAAATTCCACCCATCCGCACCCACAACTATGCGGCAATTTGCCAAGTAGAAGTAGGGGAACACGGGGCAAAACCGACTGAAAAAACGAATACCTTCATTTCTATTCAGGATCTTAAAATAAACTCGATCTATTTGCACAGTTTTATTAAGTAACTTCTTATTTACAATATTGAATTACAATACAGTGCATATCATTTATATTTATTTTTTAAAAAGCCATTAACTATTTTTAACATTTTATCGGTTTAGCCCCTTTACAGGGGCAAAATCGATTTGTAATGGGGCAATACCGATGCATGGTGTAATAGGTACTAAAATAATGATGGAAAAAAATATTATATTAAGCTTTTTTTCAAAGGAACTTACTAAACCAAAATATAAATAACCATTTTATTTAAGTATTGTAAATATAGTAATAAAGGTTTCATAAATTACCTATGTATTATAAGAAATGTAAAACTTCATTAAAATTCAATGAAACCAAAATAAAAACAAATTTAATCAATCTTGATTATTCAATTAATTTGTTTTAAATTTAATAAATATCTAACACATAGGTATTTAGATAATTACATTAATTAATATTAATCAAAATAAAATCACTTTAAGTAGGTTACCTAATAATAGACTATTAGACTTTTCTATCAGTTATGATAATTTAATAACAATTTAATTCTATTTCATAGTAATAAAAAATAAAAATAATAGTAAGGACCTTTTTGATAATAAAAAAATAAAAAATAGTAATTTCCGGTTTACCTGCTGTTGCAGTTTTTTTACAAAAATTATGCTCTATTTTGTTTATCTCTGCTAGGTCAAAAGCAAGTTTCCTTAGATCTAACATTGTTAGGCTAAACATTCTACATTCCATTTGCTTAATATATTCTACTAATTCTAGTTCTTGACTTTCGTTAAAGACTGGTTTGAATCTGCCTAATTGTTTTATGCCTGAATAATAATAATAATTATTAGGTATTGTATCATTAATTTAGATGTATTATACAAGTATCTGTAATTTTTTTTTGTAACATTGAAAATAATTCTACCTACTGTAGGTACAAATTAAAAAATGAACAAGAAAAATATTGATAAAATATTAAAGCAAGTTTAAAATCCTAAAAGATTGTTACCTACCTAAACTTAAAATACATTTTTCTAATAAAAATGTCATAGGTATAAATCAAAGTAGGTAATGATTTAAAATCCATTAGATATAATTTCAATAGTAAATAAATAATTGTTTTTACTTAAAACATACTTTTTTTTGAGGTGAGATCACTCAAATGAATTTCTTTTTTCTTCACTCTTTGAACATAGTCATATAGTGTAGTGTATGGCACTTTGTCTTCATCGACAGCTCTTGTATAACTTAAATTATTATAGATAATGTCTTTAATAGCATTTCTTAAATTATCCACACACCAATTTTGCTGTTTGGACTTTCTTATATAATTTCGAACCATTTTTAAAAATGTTTGCTACTTAATAAAATAAGTATTTATTAGTTAGGTCTAAGGTGAACTTAATCCTTACTCAAAATAGATAGATATCAACGATTAAGCATTATTAAAACTAATAAACAATCGCTTTTGCCCCAAAGCATAATTTTTACGAAATTGTTGATTTCTTATACAATATTATTAGATAAAAATAAGTTAGTGATTGCAAAACAGTCTTTACAAGTTGTAGATTCATACTAGACAAGTATGATAATTGTAGTATAGTTCTATCATTGCTAAATCTTAAATTCAAAATATGTAAATATAATAATAATTTTATTTAAAATGTTCGTTATCAATTAACAATTCAAACCAAAACGTTGGTGTCGATGTTAACAGTGATAACAACATATTTCGTGATAAGAAATGAAATAAATCTAAAAATTATAATTTTCATCCATAAAATAATGCGTGATAAGCAATATCGGTTTTACCCCGGTATCGGTTTTACCCCGTGTTTTGTTTGTTTTCCGTGGACGTGTTTTTACCACTGAAAATGACCAGTGTAGCGTCCTCTTAAGTAAAACGTATTGTTATAAGACGTGTATAGAAGGTATACGTAGTACAGACTGGGAAAAACCTTTTTTTTTTTTTAACAAAACCAGTTGAAACGAATTTAGTGTTGCCACTTAAATGGATCACATGCCGTATGATATTACTATTATTACCTATCTTTAATTATTTAATTATTTATTTAATTACGGGCAGTGAGCCCAATATAATTCTCAAAAATATATACCATATATATTTAACCTAAGTGGGTTAAACGTACCCAACTTTACAAGTAGTTATTTTAAAATAATGTGAAGATTACATGCAATTGCATGTATAATAATAAAAATACATATAATTATGTTTTATTTCTTACCTAATATAATATGAAGGTTTGAGGCAAAAAGCATGCAAGTGCATAGATTTGGGCTGTCGGCGTGTGTCATGAAAGATTTACCAAACGTCGAATATTACATGCCTCTAGACCGGGATAGACTGGAGGAAGGCCGGAAAAACATCGTAACAGAAGAGGATGTTTCATGATTTCAATTCCAAAATAAATTGATTACCTATTTACAGAATTATTTATTTTGTTGGTACAATAATTTATAATATTTTATAACATCTTATAACTATTGCACAGTTGACAAAATTATTACAGATAAAGTATTACTGTTTGGTTATCTTCAATAAATTATTATTATTATTTTATCTAGTAAAAACAACCTATGTGTTTTAATACTTTAGATTAAGAACCGAAAGCTATTAAACATATTATAGATCACTATAAAATAGGTAAGACGTATATTGTATATAGCCAATAATAGTTAAGTAATTGTGTTGATTTTAAACTTTTTAGTTTTCGATAACTACTTTATATCAAATATTTCCCCTAAATGGTTGTTCGTGAGCTTGATTGTAGAGAATTAATAACTTAACTTATACCTATACATAAAAAATTGATTTATAACCTTTTGGTTATGAGCCCATGAATTTACCTTGATATATCATACGATATCATGCATCATACGAACAACAATGATATTACATGGTAAGAACTAAGAACTTAGTGTAGTAAGTTTATAGAATGGTCAATATTGGGTATATAAATTAAATAAGTTTTAAATTAGTTAATAAATTAATAGTTTGGGCACAGTTAAATATAAATAATTCTATTTTTTAATAATTTTTGTTGATATTTTAAAAATTTGAGTGATTTTCTGAGGAGTGTAAGTTAATAATATAAAATGTGAAGTGACCACGAACGTGTTATGCAAAAGTTTATAAGAACAAATATAAAGTACTTGGCATGTGTCTAAAGACTTGAAATTATACTTATTTAATTAAATATGTTAAAAAATAATTTTGTAATTACTAATTATTAAGTACCCAATTATTTAAAATTTGTACTGTCGCATTTAAGTGTTATCACGATTTGGAACTTTGAACTAGCCGATCGTCGTCATTCAATAATATTATATTTAAATGGAACAGATGATCGTGTACGTCGGGAGGAAACATTAAATGAGACACGGGATAGTGATTCAGGACTGTCTATTTTAGAGGAAAGAAGATTAGAAAGAAATGTTAAGTTGGCTGGATGACGACGATCGGCGAGACTTTCTAAGGAAAAAAGGCGTTGGATTGGCGTGTAATCGTAAGGTGGGCAGAATATGTTTAATTTGAAAGCAGCATGACGGAGGAAGTTTCTTTGAACCCTTTCTATCATGCTACGTGCAGAAGCGGTGGATGGGTCCCAGAGGATGGTACCATATTCAAGGATGGGACGGACTAAGGAAGAGAAAAGAGTTTTTAGTGGTGTGATCAAGTGATAGTCTGTGGAGATACGGTTTATGAAACCTAGCAGTTTAAGAGCCTTACAACAGATTAACTGAATAACTGATTAACTCGCCGATCGTCGTCATTCAGCCAACTTAACATTTCTTTCTAATCTTCTTTCCTCTAAAATAGACAGTCCTGAATCACTATCCCGTGTCTCATTTAATGTTCCCTCCCGACGTACACGATCATCTGTTCCATTTAATATTCCTTTCTCTTCCTCAAACTACTATCTTAACTCACCGATCATCCGTCTTATGCGCATTGCCAACACTGACCCTTCATTCTCACTCTAAATTGAGCCTCGTTTCCATAATCAAACTATTATTTCTATTAATATTATACTACTATTTTCATGTATTATAGGGTTCGTCCCGTATTGTAAAATAAAATAAAAATAAAAATAAAATTATTTATTATATTTTGTTTGATTCTGAATTATTTAAACTGCACTGTTAACTGTTGAATATAAATTGATCAATTCAATGATATTATAGAATATAATGTACCTATCAATTATACAAATATATTTTTACTTTTTTTTCCCCTTTTACCGTCGAATGGCGATCCTATTAATGTTTATATTCATTTTCATTTGTATTCATGATTTATACAATTATATAATATATAAAAACTAAAAAGCATACATTAAACTTATTTTATACTACTACTTACAACTTACTAGTACTGTTACATGCGGCCCTTCAGGGATCCAAAAGCTGGTGTACTTGATAAATAATAATAGTCAAATTAGTATGATAATCAAATGTAATATATTAAACCAGGCAAAACAAGCAGAATAATAGTGTTGATTGTAGCGAATTTGTAGCTCGTTCCGAAGTTGATAATCTCCGTGTAAGTCGTGTGTGATGGCTGGGCGGCTAAGCGAGTCGTGTGTTGTTCTCGTCTCTGGATACATCTAATTTGTATTGAGGCCCTAGCCTCTATATATACGAATATACGAAGGCGACGCCCTTTGAATTGAGCGGCGCGTGGCATGTAGGCGCCCTTGGGAAGTTGTTGTTGTTCGAAGCGTTTATTCTAGCTATGACCACTTTTGGG